TTTTTATTATTAAGGGAAAACAAAATCCAAAACTACATGGCCCTGTGTGAAGAAGTGTTTGCCCCCCTGTTAAAACTGTGGTTTATCACACCTGAGTTCAATTTCTCTAGCCACACCCAGGCCTGATTACTGCCACACCTGTTCGCAATCAAGAAATCTCTTAAATACGACCTGCCTGACAAAGTGAAGTAGACCAAAAGATCCTCAAAAGTTAGACATCATGGCGAGATCCAAAGAAATTCAGAAACAAATGAGAAAGAAAGTAATTGAGATCTATCAGTCTGGAAAAGGTTATAAAGGCATTTCTAAAGCTTTGGGACTCCAGCGAACCACAGTGAGAGCCACTATTCACAGATGGCAAAACCATGGAACAGTGGAGAACCTTCTCAAGAGTGGCCGGCCGACCAAAATTACCCCAAGAGCACAGTGACGACTCATCCAAGAGGTCACAAAAGACCCCACAACAACATCCAAAGAACTACAGGCCTCACTTGCCTCAGTTAATAGTTCATAGTTACGGTCTACTCTTAACATAGTATTTGGTATATGCCTAGATGTCAGTGAAAGTCATTTTCAGTAATATGAATAGAGTGTGTTCGGTGATGCAGTGACTGCAAAAAATGATATATATTATAGGATATTGATTTGGCAAAGATTTTCATTCGCATGTGTAGGTTACATACAGGGACATACATACACATACTGCCTCATCCTGCAGTTCTTTTGCTGCAGATGCATAGCTCATGCATTTTTATGGAAGAAAAAGATATGTGGGTCAAGCACACATCTTTGTGCAGAAGCCTTTTACCATTGCTGGCTTTATACAAAGAGCATGCATGCGTTACCTTCATGAGACAAGCAGATCTTTTTATATGCCTCGTTTCCACACCCTCTTATCATTAATTCTCTAAAGCCCATCTTCCATTCATTCCTAGATTGCATCCATAGGGTCTTAGTGGACAGGTTGTTTGTTTCAGCATAAGATCTCACATCCTCTGGGCTGAGTCTTATGGCTGATTCTATTCCGTAGTTCTGTGTCTATGTACATCCTGATCATTTCAATTACCACTTGCTACAACCAGAAAATAGTGCTTGTTCAAGCTCTGTGTCAATATTGATCTGGGTATTTATCAACAATAGTTATTTTAATATACTTGCTTATTCTCAATGGGTGCCAGCTGTCGTTTGTGTGTTATATGAATGTGGTGTGGGTATTGAGCATCATCTGACCAAGATGAAGGTATACAAACCTGTTTTATTTAACTTTTAGAATGCCTTTGTTAAATGGATTTAATAACTTTTTATAACTTGGATTTGTGGTTCAAAATTTTTAAAATGGACACTAGATATCCATTTAATAGTACTGCTAATAAATAATCAATAGAATACTTACAGAATACATTTTGCAATTGTTTTCTGTTATGTAATTTATTTCTGTGATGGCAAAGCAGAATGTTCAGCACCCATTACAGTGTTACATGATCCTTCAGAAATCATTCTAATATGCTGATTTGTGCTAAATATATATTTTTTTATAATGTTGAAAACAATTGCTGCTGCTTAATATTCTTGTGGAAACGGAATTCATTTCAGGATTATTTGATTAATAAGAAGTTCAAAAGAATTGCATTTATTTTAAATAGAAACGTCAATTTAATGCACCCTTGCTGAATGAAAGTATTAATTTCTTTCCAGAAAAATCTTATTGACCCCAAAGTTTTGAACTGTAGTGCATGAAAATTAAAATATGACATTTTTCTTTTTCTTAAAAGAACACATCATGCTCATTTTAATCTACTCAAATCAAGTTAATTTAGGCCTAATTAGTTTGTATTGATTTATAAAAAACACAAAGATCAACCTTTATGTTAAAAATATTTAATTTTGCCCAACTACAAATCAAGTTATAAAATTAATTTAATACATTGTATCAATACAGTTAATATTTTCATATTTTACTATCAAAACATTTTCATAATTTTGATAAAATTACTTCCATAAAATAACATCCATAAGCTTATACATTTTCATATTAAACAGGAATAAAACGTTTGACTGGATTTTCTTGTATTTTCTTGTTCTCCTGGCACATGGCAACTGTAGTATATCTGTCTCATGCTGAAAAAAAGAGGATGAATTCAATTGAGAATCACTGCAGACTTGAATGAATGGCAGCCTCTTGTGAAAAAAATGTGTACAACAGACAGCTTTTCCATTCAACAAATTTCTATTTGGTATGCAGAGACTGTGTAGCAGCAAACAACCACTGTGAAACACTAAATGTGCTTCCTTAATACAAGCATGTTCAAAAGTTAGACATGCTGTTAGGTGAATAATACAGAGAAGATGTACACATTCTTGTAACGTCTGTGTGCACAATGTGTTCTTTTATTAAGCATCTCACATTCCTGTGATCTATCATGCACGTATGTGACAATAAATGTATTTATTAAGGTTATTCTATTTTATGTATTAACTAATGAGAAATTCGTATGATAATTGACCGTTACATTATTTGGACTGTGGTGGAGTCAAGGAGGATTATAATACCTTTAGAAAGCTACAGAAAGCTTAGGAGCCCTGAAAGTATCCTAATAGATCGACAGAGAATTATCTGAGCTAAAATAGTAAAATGTTAGCAATAAATGGCATATATGCCTACAAAAGAAACATTATTTTGTCAAAATACACTGCTGATTTTAAAAGGCCACAGTGTTTTTTAGAACCAGATGGTGTTGTTACCAGCATGAGGTAACAGGGCTTTGGTAACAAGCTAAACCTTGACCATTTGGGTAGAGTCAGCCCCCCCATTTGTACACTAAACCAAATTCAGCATCTCAACATGGGTGCTTTACAAATTTGAGCTACCTTCCATTGCAATGTTGTTCTTTTTTTTTATATTGTCCAACCTTATTTTTTGTGTTTTGTCCAACCTTAGATAAATAATGGGTTGTTACTGTGCTGATAAATTAATTATTAATTGTTTAAATTGGGACATTTTTCTTTGGGTGAAATATCCCCAAATATTCTCTGAATCTGTTGACAGCATTTTTAAGGTGGGCTGAAATGGTCCATATGTGGACCATGGTGAGCCATCTGGAGGCTGAGCAGGGGTGATGGACATGCTCAGGTCTTTTCCATTCAGGCCTCCTTGGACTGACAGCTGAATGCTTGTCTTACTTCCCACTGGGTCTGACCACACACACACACACACACACAAGCTGACATTGTACATCGTTTCAGGCAATAAATGATGTTTCTTCCTGCAGTGGCTTACAATGTCAGCACAATACATCATACATTACTTGCTCCTATTGGTGAGAATAGGCCTTCAACATACCAATTTTCCATTTATTCTCACAGATGTGGAGTTAGAGCTTTTCATCCATGATGCTTCATTCAAAATCATTGGTAAAGTTGAATTCTTGGCTACATTGAGTCAAGTCTATTCAAATATCTTAACAGTTTAGCTTCTAGTTTTTATTTTATTTGATTGTTTTTACAAAGCTTACTTAAATTCATGCCTTGCATATGCGTTATGGATATTTATTAATGTTCATCCTCTTGTGTGGATTTCTCCCCCATTCTGTCCTCAGCTGGTCCGATATAACATCTGATCCGAGCAGTAAGCACTGCACATTCAGCCTTAGGCATGTATTTGTCACACTCCCGCTTTCTTACTTTCCTCTGTGCCTTTGATGTCTCTTGCTCCCTTTTCCCCCAATCCATGGCCTCAGACTCAGACACACACACAGTGCCCAGTTCCTCTTGGTGTAGCCAGAAGAGGTGCACATGTCCTCTCTATGACACATCTACACCACACGATTTTATCTCCTGCCACCACAAAGAGGACATGTGTGGTGTTGTTTGGTTTGGCTGACACCATATAGTCTCACACAAACACACAAGCTAAGCCGTATTCACAAAATACGTAATGGGTAAATACACAATTGGAAAGAGATGTTGATTATTATTTTTCTTGTTGGTTAATGTGAAAACATGCAGATTAATTGGCCCCCTGTACGAGCCGATTTTCTTCTTTCTGCACAGAGTAGACTATATGGTGTCTTTATAGTCCATTTAAGCTTTGAGCTTGTTTCTGAACAGGAAAGGCCTTTGAGATAACCTATTCTTCAGCCAGAAAAGATCAGTGGGTGATGGCACATGTAGCAGGCAGTTGGCAGGACCTGAACCTCCTCTGTCCTTTAGCAGTTTATTTATTTATAGTGGAAAGTAAACAAAATGAAGTTTCTTTCTTTCTTTCTTTCTTTCTTTCTTTCTTTCTTTCTTTCTTTCTTTCTTTCTTTCTTTCTTTCTTTCTTTCTTTCTTTCTTTCTTTCTTTCTTTCTTTCTTTCTTTCTTTCTTTCTTTCTTTCTTTCTTTCTTTCTTTCTTTCTTTCTTTCTTTCTTTCTTTCTTTCTTTCTTTCTTTCTTTCTTTCTTTCTATCTTGCTTGCTTTTTCTTTCTTTCTTTCTTTCTTGTTTGCTTGCTTGCTTGCTTTCTTGCTTGCTATCATTTGTTCATTCTTTTTTCATTCTTGCTTTTGTTTAAATTTTTTGTTTTTTTGTTCATTCGTTGTTTTTTGTACTTGCTTTTGCTTGAATTTTCTTTTTTAATGTTTGTAGTTTGTAGTTTGTTTCTTCTTTTTTTATTTAACTTTTTGTTGTATTTCGGTATTTGTTCTTTCTTTTTTCATTCTTGCTTTTGTTTTAATTTTCTTCTTTTTTTGCTTGTGCATTGTTCAATTGTTTCTGTTTTAATACCTTAATTTTTTTTCTCATTCATTCTTTCTTTCATTTGTCTTTTTCTTTGTTAATTTATTCATTTGTGTTTGGTTATGACCCATGAGGAGTTTATACCAAAGTCAAGTTTTCTATTCTCACAATACCCATAAATCATAGTGACAGTGACTTATGTTAGTATCAAATATGGTGACTTACGTAACACTGGAATGTCTTATCACAGTTGAGACAACGTTATTTAATAACCAAGTCTAGTCGAGGCGGCCAAATCTTAATTAACCGACAGCAGCTTCAAATGCTTTTTAAATTTATGACAGCATTGAGCACATCGCTTGGGTTGCTTTCAGACCTCAAAACTAATGGGAGTACCAGCAACAGAATCTAAAACCTTTGGCTGACATAAAGCTCATATTGCCATCACTGTAAATTACTGGAATCTCATATGAACAAAAATGTGAATGGCGCTCGCATTTGAAGACGTGAAAGAGGATGTCCCCAACCCAGTTCACACAGTACAGGTCTACAGAATTCAGTCTCAAAATTTAGGTGAGTCGAGAAAAAGAGTTTCCCAAAAATGAAAATTTTGTCATCATTTGGTCACCCTCATGTTGTTCCAAACTTGCATTACTGTAATTCTAATATGGAATGTGAAGCTAATGTCTTTTTGTCCATGCACTGAAAGTCAGTGGGGTTCAGTGTTGTTTGGACCTTACTGACTTTGAAAATGAGGGTGAATATATATATATAGACAGGATATTGATTTTGGGTGAACTATTCCTTTAAAAAAAAGTCAGTGCTTTATCTATAAATGAGCAGGTTCTAACGTCTCATCTGTGCTGTGCTTTATGTATGTGTTGATGTTTGCCTGTTCATCCATAGGGAGCTGAGAGCCCTTTATATTTTCCAGTGTCTGGGTGAAGTGAGCTCAGTTTTACATCTGAATGAATCTTCCACAGGAACGCTCCTCTTCCACCCTCTCATATCTGCCAGCGTTTGTCTCTGCATTACACACACTCTTAAAAAATGTATCACGTCACTCCGTGTTTATCACCATTTTTCAGTGGCCAGTAGGTTGCGTTTGAGTTAATCAGTCATTTTTAGCTAAGACTATTTATAGGACAAGTATGTCAGTAGCTGTGGGCTCTATCTCTCTCTTATTTAGCCTTCTCTCTCTCTTTCTCTCTTTCTTCCCCCATTCTTTTTTCTCTCTTCTTCTCTTTACAATCTGTATTCCTTCCCTCCTCTCTTATCTCTGTTTCCATGTCCTGTCCTGTTTGTTAAATGTTTATTGCATAAGCAACTGAGACGGCTATAGTCTAGGAGGTTGTTTTGTAGACTAACCCACATGTTCTGACATTCATATATTCATGCAGTAGGTTATTTGCGCATCAAGGAAATTTGTTTCTTAACCTCATCTGTAGCAAAACAGGAACAAACAAAAATTGGCAAAAATATGCTAAATCGGGAAAAAACAGCACTCTTGACTATATCATATGATATAGATATAGGACAAAAACCCATGCAGTGGCATTGAAATAAAACTGCATTCATAAGCTACATCATGTCAAGTCGTTGTTCTGCATCATGTTTGTCAGCAACTGCGTGCAGTGTAAGATGGCGTACAGGTCTAGGCGGGGCAGAGTGCATTAAAATTCGTTAATTTGAATCCATTCTTTTTTCATTAACACAAATCAACAGCACAAAAAAAGATATTTCCTTGCCTTAAGGCTTTTAAATTTGATCTGAAATCTCTCCGAATTGCTAAGCGATATACACGTCTCTCCTGCATTTGGGATATTTTCAGTTTGTGTATCGCATTGCCAAACAGAATCAACTAATACTAAGAAAAAACTTTATGCTTCCACTGACATTTTTCAGCATTGTAGCATTAGTTCAAGCATTATGATATATTTAGTCCTCATTATTTATGCATGAAGGATTTCATATGATGCTCTGTACATACAAAAAATGTTTCATTCATCCCATTAAAAAAATGTTGGGTAATGATTCACATCTATATTTTTTAAATTGAGCCAATGAAAAATAAATAACTTGCCCTAAGGGGATGTATGAATGAATGAATGAAACTTTTTTTTTTCAGTGTATATAAATATGCATGTATATGCATTTATATGTTTTTTTACCTTAATGATAGCTTGTGTTACACAAATACAGGACTAGATGCTTGTTATGAGGCCACACCCCCATGCCCTGTTTCTCCATGCTAATTAGGCTGTCTAACCAGTAGCGGCCTACTTCTGCATTTGACGCTTAGCAACACCCTGTAGAGTTCAGTAATGAAACAGCTATTATTAATTAGTCTAATTTCCTTACCTAATACTTCCACTACTTGATAGCTCTCATTATCTTTTACCTCTTTGGTATCTCTTTAGGAAACAAGCTTGACTCAGAAGAGATTTTTATAGTGACATTTTCATATTCACATTAATATTCTTTATCAGCATGTAACAGAGTTTTAAAAAATGCAGACACATAAAATAAATTTTTATTATTTAATAATAATTATTATTTAAAATGTAATTATTTTATAGCAAGAACACATTAAATGGATCAAAAGTAACAGTGAAGACATTTACAATGTTATTTCAGTTTCATACCATTTCATATAAACTTTATATTCATCTAAGAATCCTGAAAAAATGCATCACAGTTTCCACACAATATTAAGCAGCACAACTGTCTTCAACACTGATAATAATAAGAAATGTTTCTTGAGCATCAAATGATCATATTACAATGATTTCTGAAGCATCATGTGGCACTGAATACCGGAGGAACAGCTGCTGAAAATGAGCATTGCATCACCGGAATATACAGTATTACATTTTAAAATATATTACAATACAAAATATTTATTTTAAACTGTAATAATATTTCACAATATTGCTGTTTTTACTTCTTCTGAACCTGGACTTTATAGATATGTTCAATTAAAAAATGTATAGAAAATCAATGTATATATTATCCCTCAATATATATATAATATATAATTCCTAGAAACGAACAAAGAATAAGTATATAAGAAAATGTATAATAAATATTTATATTAAAATATTTGAGATATCTAATATTTTTAAGATTTAGATTTTTTAATAAATATGAATATCAATAGAATTACTTATTGCCATACAGTGTTAGTAGACTTTCCTAAACTAACTTTTTTGTTAATGTCAGTTCCAGAATAAATTCCAGAGTAGCGCAATTATCAAAACATTGGAGTATAAACGGCCTCAGCCTTACAGCATGCAGATATAATATTGCCATGTTACTCGACTACACCACATCTGACCCCATCTGCACACACCTCATCCTGGCTCCCTCCTTTCCTGCCTTCCCTAATTTACAGGTCTGTCCCTGGCTGTGCTCTGCCAGGGAATCTGTCTTGTGGGTATTAATGCTGTCAGAGAGGATGGGAAATTAATGGTGCATGTAGTGAAATTAAAGCCCTGCCTAATGACTGCACCTATCTCCTTCCTGACCTTGTCTCTCGCAGTCCACAAGGGCACCGGGGTGAACCGTAAATCTCACAAATCCATCTCTGTAACCTTACACTGTGTGTGAATGCACATTGTCAATGAAAGCTGCGGAAATAAAATGTGCGCGTTCACACCACAGCCGATTCTCCATGAATGAAAGGAGGTGTGTCTGTGCGCGGGTGTTCCGTTGTGTTGCGTGTGCGCATGCATTTTGTGTATTGGCTAACTCAAGGTTATGCCTGGACATGATTTATTTTTTGACGTTCATTTTTGTCCCCACTCCTTTCCCTGACTGGCCTGTTACAGGTTCATAAAAGATGCATCATCTACTGTAATCGTGTGTGAGCGTGTGTAAATGAGGGCTTTTGCATTTACCTGCTGTATTCCTTCCCCAGTCCCTGCTTCTGTTGTCATAGCAACCATCTGATGATAACAATAGGGCCAAGAGGTGTTTTGGGAGGGTTCAGGGGGAAAAGGACGGGAAAGGAATAAAGAGCGAGTAGAGGCAGAGGAGGCAAAGGAGCTACTTCTCCAGCTGATTGCCATAGCTCATCAAATTCCTTCACATCATCGGCACTATGACTCACCACAGCCCTGCCCAAACACTCTCACCCACGTGCACTTTCTGACTCTCTCTGATTGCTCTGTTTTTGCTCTCTTCTACCACCAATGTCTTCACATCATCACTATGATGATGCTAATTTAGTGCATGACAGCCATGACCACTTGTATGTTTGGAAGGCTCATCTGCTGTTGTCCACATGACGTCCTGCGGTAGGAGTGTCAAGGCAGAAGGGCAGAAATGGCTTATGTAATGATATGCGGGTATCAAGGTTGCGGGATTGGTTTGAACACAAACTTGATATTGTAGCTATTAAAACAAACCGGTGATTAAAGCAGTGAGTCACAGGACCTTGATCATATTCACAAAGCAAATTAATTTGCATAGAAGTCTGGTAATATAGGGAAAATAACATTTACCTCATATAAACTCAATGCAGTTATAAATGAATGAATATAAATGATAACATTTCATGGGATAGTTCATCCAAAAATGAAAAATGTGTCACTATTTATGCACTCTCATGTTCTTCCAAACCTGTATGACCTGATTTTTTCTGTGGAACATAAAAGGAGATATTTTGAGAAATGTATCAGTGGTTGTTTTCTTTTTGGCTATACAGTGGAAGTCATTGGCCGCCAAAACTGTTTGGTTACCAGCGTTCTTCAAAATATATATTTTTGTGTTCTGCAGAAGGATCAGTTGTTTCTATTGTAGAAGTCTCTATTCAATTGTTTACTACATACATTTGTATAAAGTAAATTGTGATAAGATTTTCTAGTGTTAAAGGGATAGTTCACCCAACAAGGGAAAATCTGTCATTAATTACTCACCCTCATGTTGTTCCAAACTAGAGCTGGACAATAATTCAATATCAATATGTATCGCGATATAATTTTTTTCAATAACGGTGATATGATTTTTAAACACATTTCCGATATTTCGATATACATTACCAGTGTTTCCCATACATTGATTTATTTGTGGCGTTTAACTTCGTTGAATAAACATGAGCGCTGCACGTTTCAAAATCGTAACAGGTTGATCCAAAGTACAGCAAAAACAGTAAAATGTTGAAATATTTTAAAATTGCTTTCTATTTGAATAGATTTTAAAATGTAACTTATTCCTGTGATCATACATAGGTAAATTTTCAGCATCATTACTCCAGTCTTCAGTGTCACATGATCCTTCAGAAATCATTCTAATATGCTGATATGCTGATTATCAATATTTAAAACAGTTGAGTACATTTGTTTTTCAGGATTCTTTGATGAATAGAAAGATCCAAAGATCAGCATTTATCTGAAATAAAAAGCTTTTGTAACATTATACATTATTCCATTCAGTAGAATCTTTATTATTTTTTTGAGAAAGAAATTATAGAAATTAATACTTTTATTTAGCAAGGATGCTTAAAATTTATCAAAAGTGATGATAAAGGCATTTATAATGTTACAAAAGATTTCTATTTCAGATAGTGTTCATATCGACATCGGAATTATATCGTATTGACCGAAATTAAGAAATATATTGGGATATCAATTTTGGCCATATCGTCCAGCCCTATTCCAAACCCGTAAGGCCTTCATTCATCTTCAGAACACAAATTAAGATATTTTTGATGACCCTGTATAGACCGCAAGGGAACTACCACTTTCAAGGCCCAGAAAGTAGTAAGGACATCGTTAAAATAGTCAGCGGTTCAACCGCATTTATTATATGAAGCTACGAGAATACTATTTGTGCACAAAGAAAATAAATATAATGACTTTATTCTACAATTTCTTCTCTTCTGTGTCAGACTGCGTTGTGCAATCACAAGATTATTTTTAATGATGTCCTTACTATCTGGGGCTTGAACTTGGCAGTTGCGTTGCTGTCTATGGAGGGTCAGAAATCTCTCGGATTTCATCAAAAATATCTGAATTCATGTTCCGAAGATGAACGAAGGTCTTACGGGTTTGGAAAAACATGAGGGTGTGAAATTAATGACAGAATTTCCATTGTTGTGTGAACTATCCTTTTAAGACAGTCAAGTCACATTTATTTGTATAGCAATTTATTAAATGCAGATTGTTTCAAAGCAGTTCACTGTAATAAACAAGAAAATAACAGTATTAAGGTTGCAGAGTTCTTCAATTATGAATTGAATATAATTTCAGCTGTAAAACTTTGCCATTATGGTTATTCAGCGAGGGTCTTGTTTTCAGTTATTCATTCAAATTGTCCTTGTTTGAGACATTGCTAGTCTGCTTGAAATGACATTTCACCACATCTATTTTTTAAATGCATGTTATTATTAATCTCCAATCAGTAAGTCTGCTTAAACCTCACCCCTTTCTTACAATCAGCTCCCAGCTTACATTCAGCTGATCTGCCTCCATCCAATCAACAAGCGATGAAAAGATCCAAATTCCCAGCCAACATTTTCTTAGTTTCACTCAGATGTACGTCACAGTACGGACATTAAGATCTGTCAATTCTTCAATTATATTGTGACTTTTTGTCATATGAACAGGATATTTCCGGAGTCACACCTATTTGTAAATCCGTTTTCAATCCCAAATACTGATTGTATGAACACAAACACTTAGAAATTGTTTGTGATTTTGCTCATAATTTAATGGCTTTAATTCCTAAACTGATAAATTGAGCGCTTCAGTACCAATGAATGGGGAGAATGCATTATTAAACTGGCTGTGTGTCTGTTGTTTGTTCTCTCACGCTCCTGCAGGGATCTGCCTCAATATGGACACAAGCAGTGGCAGTCCTATTTTGGCCGAACATTTGACGTATACACCAAGCTGTGGAAGTTTCAGCAGCAGCACAGGTCAGCTCTCTAGATGGATCTATTTTTGAAACCGAAAGATCTGTTTTTACCAAAAGCACGAAAATAAAGCTGGTTCTTTGGCTTAGAACTTCATAAGACTGAAGTTTTAACATGCTTGATCCAGTGTGATTTTGCTGAGTGTGTTATTGTGCTGGTATCTTAAGGACTACCGTGGACAGCTGACTCCTACATTTTTGTTATTCTTCATATTCTCTGTGGTGATCGGTTCACAGCAGTGATAGAAATTAATCTTTTCCAATAAGTTTAAATAGATTTTTACCTTTTATGGGCATTTTTTTTACCTGTATACAGCCATTTTTTTTTCTAAAAGTGTGCATTACCGTTTGAGTCAAATTTTTGCATTTACTGTAATCAGTCAATTAGAATAATAAGACATTTGGGCTGTTAGCAAGCAAATTAAATCAGTATTGACAAAATGTATCTTTGCAATGCAGAGGAAACACAGAAGCTGCATTAGAAGTGTCATTTAGATGTATTTACACACTGTTTAATGCAGCTCAGAGGGACATGGAAATATTAATGCATAATGTTTTGATATTTTAAACATAGAACATTAAAAAACTGATGTTTGAAATTATTTAAAAAATGAAAAGATACTTTAAATGTAAAATTAAAACCGCCAGTAGGTGGCAGCAAGTCACTGTTAATAAGTGAGTCATTGCGATTGACCCAAATAATTTAAACGGTTGATTCATTCAGGAACAAAACACCGTCATGTTGCTCAGAGACGCAAAACAGTGCTGTAGCTGTGTTTGCAATTACTTTTGTTGTCGAAATAGAGCAAAAACAGAAAATATGCTGTCTAAAACGCAAGTCTCTTAATTTACTTCTTGTTTATTGAACTGTTGTAAAAGTCAATATCACATTTGTAATCATGCTGATTTTTGGAGAAAAAAACGGCACTCTTCGTGTGATACTGATTAACTATATGAAATTATACATTTTCTGCCCCCATGTATTGAATTTTGTGATCATTCTAAATGCATTTTAAAGGAACACTCCACTATTTTTGAAAATAGGCTCATTTTCCAACTCCCCTAGAGTTAAACAGTTGAGTTTTACAGTTTTCGAATCCATTCAGCTGATCTCTGAGTCTGGCAGTAGCACTTTTAGCTCCTTTAATAGACTGAATCATGCAGTGAAAGAACGCACTCTAAATGCATACGCGCACTAGTTTAACCCACTACATCACGTAATGTATGCGTGCGTTTTGTTCGTTTTTTTGCGATATACTCGATAATGTCAAATCACAAAACGTTAAAACAACAATTACGATATATCGCACACCCCTATTCTTTACTTAAATATACTGGGTGGACCAGCTGTCAATCTGAGTGGGCCAGTGCCACCCTGGCCCTTATGTAGCCTCGCCACTGGCTTGATCAAACTTCCCTCTGATAGCTCCTCTGCACCAATGATGTCAACATTAATGACGGATGATTTCTTATTTGGTTTTGCATTATTGGAAACTAGACAAGTCCTGGACAACCGGTATGGTCTCAAGAGGTGGCAGATAGGTGAAGTGGCCTCAAAAATTGGCCAGCTGTACTACCATTACTAGTAAGGAGCTTTTTTTTTTTAAACACAATTCTTTATTCAGCTTGTTTCAAACCTGTATTTTAGATATTTTTTACACATAATTTTTTTTGTCTTCTTTAGCCTCCGCACTTCAGAAACAAGCTACCTTAATGAAGCCTTTTCCTTTTATTCGGCCATTCGCCAACGATCATATTACCACCAAGTCAACAAAGAAGACAGGTGAAAAGAAGCTGCTGTACAATGAACTGTGATGAGCAAAGTTGATACTTTTTTTATTTATTATTATTTAATGTTCTTGAAAGTTTTTTGAAGTAATATACTTATGAGCAAAAGTAAAGATCTCAAAATGCATGTAAGATATGGTCTTCAGTTCATTAATTTTGCCCCGTGTCCTTTGCACAGGCCAGAGCTGGTTGTAAAAAAGCTGAGGTATTATGCTCGCTTTATCGTTGTTTGTCTGTTGCTCAACAAGTTGGACCTGGTTAAAGTGTTGGTCAAGGTAAGTCATGGACAGCAGACCAAACAGACCAGTTACACATTTTTAAACCATGGCTCACTATAGATATTCAGTTGAACAGAGGTTATTGCCAAAAGATCAGTCAGTAGAGACTGTTGGCCACTTATGCAGCTGGAATTAATACAAAATTCATGCCTCATCAATTTTGGCACCGTTTAAGAAAATTACTCTTATACATTTTGTAGTTTTTTTTAATGTTATGTTTGGTTTTACAAAGGACTAATCCCTATACTGCCAACAATGCACTGTTTATGAGAAGAAAAACACAGTAGGGTGTGTCTGAGACCATCTGTGGTGTCTTTTTCTGCAGGAGCTGTCTGAAGAGATTGAGGACTACACCCAACGCTTTAACACAGAGGACCAGTTAGAGTGGAACCTGGTTCTGCAGGAAGTTGCTGCTTTTGTGGAGGTGAGATTGTAATTTTTTAAAAGTCTCTTGCAGTGCATAAAAATGCTAAAAATTGTTGTACAATTAAAGTCACAGTGAAACACCATTGACAGCTCATATTACTTCCATGAAGTAATGACTTGCCAACTGAAATAAAAAGAAAAAATAGGATGTAGTTGTATAATTTTTTTCTACTTAATGTTAAAGTATTGTTAGAAACCTAATAATATATAAAATAAAAAACAGATTTATTTTTTACCATTAAAAACTATGAATGTCATTATACAATAATTGTGATTAAAAGTAAATTCATATAATTCATTTAGTATTCAGTCCTAAAAAAATACATTTTTTAGCGGATACAGACCTTAGTTTAAAAAAAACCCCTGTTCTATATGACAGGTGGTTGGGGGGAGGGGCCGAATCACATGAAGTGGAGCAAGTTATAATTTAGATTTTTTTCATTGTAATGTACACCAATACATAAATTACACTGCTGTTCAAAAGCTTGAGGTCAGCATGTTTTTTATGTTTTTGAAAAAGTCTCTTATGCTCACAGAGGCTGCATTTATTTGTTAAAAAATACAGCTACAACAGTAAGTTACATATTATTAACATTTAAAATTGTGATCAATATTGACAGCAATTGTGCTGCTTTTTAGGATTCTTTGATGAAAAGAAAGTTCAAAAGAACGTAATTTACATGAAATAGAAAACTTATGACATAAATGTCTTTACTGTAACACTTTAGTATAGGGACCAATTCTAACTATTAACTAGTTGCTTATTAGCATGCCTATTATTAACATATTGGCTGTCAGAAACAAGCTACCTTAATGAAGCCTTTTCCTTTTATTCGGCCATTCGCCAACGATCATATTACCACCAAGTCAACAAAGAAGACAGGTGAAAAGAAGCTGCTGTACAATGAACTGTGATGAGCAAAGTTGATACTTTTTTTATTTATTATTATTTAATGTTCTTGAAAGTTTTTTGAAGTAATATACTTATGAGCAAAAGTAAAGATCTCAAAATGCATGTAAGATATGGTCTTCAGTTCATTAATTTTGCCCCGTGTCCTTTGCACAGGCCAGAGCTGGTTGTAAAAAAGCTGAGGTATTATGCTCGCTTTATCGTTGTTTGTCTGTTGCTCAACAAGATGGACCTGGTTAAAGTGTTGGTCAAGGTAAGTCATGGACAGCAGACCAAACAGACCAGTTACACATTTTTAAACCATGGCTCACTATAGATATTCTGTTGAACAGAGGTTATTGCCAAAAGATCAGTCAGTAGAGACAGTCTGTTGGCCACTTATGCAGCTGGAATTAATACAAAATTCATGCCTCATCAATTTTGGCACCGTTTAAGAAAATTACTCTTATACATTTTGTAGTTTTTTTTAATGTTATGTTTGGTTTTACAAAGGACTAATCCCTATACTGCCAACAATGCACTGTTTATGAGAAGAAAAACACAGTAGGGTGTGTCTGAGACCATCTGTGGTGTCTTTTTCTGCAGGAGCTGTCTGAAGAGATTGAGGACTACACCCAACGCTTTAACACAGAGGACCAGTTAGAGTGGAACCTGGTTCTGCAGGAAGTTGCTGCTTTTGTGGAGGTGAGATTGTAATTTTTTAAAAGTCTCTTGCAGTGCATAAAAATGCTAAAAATTGTTGTACAATTAAAGTCACAGTGAAACACCATTGACAGCTCATATTACTTCCATGAAGTAATGACTTGCCAACTGAAATAAAAAGAAAAAATAGGATGTAGTTGTATAATTTTTTTCTACTTAATGTTAAAGTATTGTTAGAAACCTAATAATATATAAAATAAAAAACAGATTTATTTTTTACCATTAAAAACTATGAATGTCATTATACAATAATTGTGATTAAAAGTAAATTCATATAATTCATTTAGTATTCAGTCCTAAAAAAATACATTTTTTAGCGGATACAGACCTTAGTTTAAAAAAAACCCCTGTTCTATATGACAGGTGGTTGGGGGGAGGGGCCGAATCACATGAGGTGGAGCAAGTTATAATTTAGATTTTTTTCATTGTAATGTACACCAATACATAAATTACACTGCTGTTCAAAAGCTTGAGGTCAGCATGTTTTTTATGTTTTTGAAAAAGTCTCTTATGCTCACAGAGGCTGCATTTATTTGTTAAAAAATACAGCTACAACAGTAAGTTACATATTATTAACATTTAAAATTGTGATCAATATTGACAGCAATTGTGCTGCTTTTTAGGATTCTTTGATGAAAAGAAAGTTCAAAAGAACGTAATTTACATGAAATAGAAAACTTATGACATAAATGTCTTTACTGTAACACTTTAGTATAGGGACCAATTCTAACTATTAACTAGTTGCTTATTAGCATGCCTATTATTAACATATTGGCTGTTTATTAGTACTTAAAAATCACATATTCTGCATGACCATATTGGACATTCCTAATCCTACCTAATACTTAAACTTAACAACAAGCTTACTTACTATTAATAAGCAGCAAATTAGGAGTTTATTGAGACAAAAATTGTACTTACTGGTTTGTTATTAGCAAGAATTGGACCTTAAAATAAAGTGTTACCCTTCTGATCAGTCCTTGCTGAATAAAAGTTGATTTCTTTTAAAACATCTTACTGAATGATAATGTATTGTAAATCAGGTTAATCTTATTACTTTACAGGAGAAATTAGTCAAATGTGCACACTCAAAAGCACAGTATCTCAGATGTTATAAATGCGTCCTTCTACACAACCTTTACAGTTACGTAAAGTACATGTTTAATACGCTCTGTAAGACTTCTGACATGTTAATAACAGATATTCATATTTTCTTTCTTTTGTACTATTTCTCTATCTACACAGGCAGATCCTCTTATAATCCTAAATGATGACAACTCTGGGGTGGTCATATCCAATCGGTTGCAGGAGGGAGGCGTGCCCCCTCTTGAACAGGGCATGGTGGTTGGCCAGCTCACCTTGGCAGATGCGCTCATCGTTGGCAACTGTAACAATCAGGTGGGAGTACAGTACAGCAAAACGCCTAGCAGGCTGAACAAGTTACATAATATGTCAAATTCAAGCGGTGCTTTCTTATGTAAATGATTAGACGCTTCAAACTTGCCATGTAGGTTATAATAACAAAAGAGTTTTATTGTAGTCCAGTTTTTGTAATGGATGAATTTGATCTGGTTTATAGGTGAAGTTTAGCGAGCTGACCATCGATATGTTTCGTATGCTTCAAGCGCTTGAGAGGGAACCGGTGAACCTGGCTACACAAAGCTCCAAGCCAGGGACACTTGTAAGAGAAGACTCTTACACTCTCCCTGTCACTCTCTATGTTGAGTGTTTCTGAGTATTTCCACCCCTACTCCCTCGCTATTTCAGTACTTCACCTTTTTCAGTGGCTCTCTCACTGTTCTTTCTCACTCTGCCTGCTCTCAGTGTCTCTCTCTATTCCTCTCTCACTCATTTATCTCTCTCATTATAGGAGCCCAATGAAAAGCCGGCCAAGAGAGAGAACCCTCATAAATATCTCCTCTACAAACCAACCTTCAGCCAGCTCTACACTTTCCTGTCTGCCTCCTTCAAGGTTTGGCGGATGTCATTGCAGTTTTTAGCACCTGTCAATTTATTGTCAATCCATCCTGTCATTTCCGTCCTGATTTGACTCTATATTGCATCAAGACCTTGGAGCAGACACGATGATTAAGCTTAAATCAAATGTGCCATATATTTTGAGCTAATGTACTCCTAAATTACCAATTTTACTTTTAGCAAACATTGACTACAGTAGACTCAAAAGTTTGGGGTCAGCAAGGTTTTTTTAAGTTTTAAAGAACTTTATACATATATTCATCATAAATGCATTAAATTGATCAGCAAAGACTGTTTGTTTATTTATTTATTGGCTGTTCTTTTGAACTTGTCACAAAAATCTGTTTCCACAAAAAAGCAGCACTATTGTTTTCAACATTGGTGATAAGAAATCTTTCTTCAGCTCTAAATTAGCATATTTGATATCTGAAGGATCATGTGACACTGGAGTAACAACTGCTAAAAAGCATCACAGGAATACATTTCATTTGAAAATGTATAGAAATAGAAGACCGTTATTTCAAATGGTAATAATATTTTACAATATTACTGTTTTTAGTGTATTTTTGATCAAAGAAGCCTTAGAGACTTCTTTCAAAATTATTTAAAAATCTTTCCAACCCGAACTTTTCAACAACAATGTACCTAATTCAAATTTACGGTCTTTCTCTTGAGCAAAAACACACCAAAGATAGCTTGTACTACACAGATTTATCTCCAAACAAATGCTCACTAGAATGAGAATGTTCGTTCCTCTAAAATGTAAAACTTACAGCTAGACTAAATCCTTTTGGCTATTTAAAAAAGGGAGGAGCCTTTCCATATTCCTTGCACAAACAGTAGGAAAACACAATTTTCAATATGAAACACATTAACACAGCTTATCGAATGATTTTATAGGGCTTTTAAAGCCTCGGGATCTCATTATAATTCAAGAGTCAAGGGCAAAGATAAATAAAACTGCTGTTTTTCTGTACAATTATTGCGTTCTGGTTGTCTATCCTGTGTGCTAGTTTGGGTTCTGTTGTCTGGAGTGACACCTCGTGTGAGTGTGCGTGTAGCAGCATGGCATGCTAACGGGGTGTTAGTGTGTTACTATTTGCTCTGCTGTAGCGTAGCACCTCAAGAGTGCGAGGAAAACCCACACACACACATGACTCAGATACTTGTGTGCTTTTGCTTTGTAGCATTTTTAACTCTCAGACACCCCTATTTTTAGGCTGTTTTCCATCTTTCTTCATGTTTTGTTTAGATAAATAATGACAAGTAATTGTCACAGGCACTTGCATGTGCTTTTTTTAACCATTTCCTGTCAGTAGATGGTCTGTGTGTGTTTCTCTATTTGCAAAGATGAATACTACCTCTAGTTGCCGCGTAGCACTTAGCGTGCCACTCAACTTAATTAGCTTGCTGTGACACTGCTTTACCATTTGTATCATTGTGAACGTTCTGATTAAATTAGCCGATTTAATGAATACAGTTTTGTGTTCTAGTCATTGAAACTTTTCTTTTCTTTTCTTTCACTGATTCTTTTATTGCTAGGAACTGCCAGCCAATAGTGTCCTGCTGGTGTATCTCTCTGCCACTGGAGTGTTTCCTGCTGGACGCTCAGAGTGTGAAGGTACGCTGAGGTGTTTTAGCACAGTTGTTCTGACACTGGATGATCTGGAATATTGTTCTCTTTATATTTACATAAATATCTACTAATTACAAGCTCTCTTGAAAAGCTGCTCAGCCAATCAAATTAGGGGATTCAAAAATTTGTGTAATATTATGTATGATGTTTCTAACAAACTGCCATGTTTAAAATCTAGTGCTGTCAAATCGATTAATCGCGATTAATCGCATTCATATGCATCCATGTGTGTATGTGTGTTTGTATTATATATATATATATATATACAGTATATACACCTTGCTACGTGTACAGCATTAGGCTAACCGAGACTTGTCACTTGTCATATATATATAGACACACACACACAGTACATGCACATATATTATGTAAACACAAACCTTTATTTTGGATGTGATTAATCGATTTGACAGCACTAGATTTTGAGCACAAGTATTCTTTGATGAATAGAAAGTTCAGAAGAACATTTTTGTTTAATGCATCCTTGCTAATTAAAGCATTTTCTTGAAATGTCCTTAAAAATCTTTCTGACAACAAATGTTTGAATGGTAGTGTTGTAAATGAGCAAACAGAAGTTGATCCACCTAGAAAGTTTTAGGCTCCCATGATGCTTCATTTTGATGAGTGATCCAAACAGGAAGGAGTCAGATCTGTCCCATCAATATTATTTAACATCACCATTACTTTATGTGCAGGACCTTATGATTTTGGAGGTGTCCTGACCAATACTAATCGAGATGTGATAAATGGTGAGATGGTGCAGAAGAGAAACCAGGCACAAAAAGAGATGCACTGGTGAGCCTTCATTGACATCCATTCTGTGCTAGTCTGCTAGAAACTAAAACGTGCTTACTAACATGTTTGAGACACTGAGGTGTTTTTTTTCACACACATGTATGCGCAAATGTGTGTTTTTCAGTCTCCACCCAGGAGACCTTTTCCCCTTCACCAGGAAACCTCTGTTTATCATTGTCGACTCATCCAACAGCACAGCTTATAAGGTGAGACATCAACTCTCCGTCTCCCTTTCCTTGTCACACTCTTACACGCCTCTTGACGTCATGAGGCCATTTATTATTCAAGAGCAGCCATGTGGTTGCTCTATAAATAAGACTATCTGACTTCTTGACTAGAATAAACATGATGAACATGATAAACATGTTAGCAGAAATAGACCTTGTAGTAGGGACACGGTTGTAGTTTTTTCTTTTTACTCCTAGACGGATCACCCTTTGTTTGTTTGTTTTTTCTCTCCTCAACGGATTTTCTTTATTTGGCGGTATATTTCAGTAATGGAGCGCCCCCTTGGGTACATTTTATAACACATTCACATTGTGTACTAGTAGAGCACATTTACTGTTAAAATAATTTTTCATGTGACTCCAGCTTGATGACTCCTTCCTGTCTTTCTACAGAATTTCTCCAATCTGTTTGGCCAACCACTTGTTTGCCTGCTTTCTCCAACAGTGTATCCGAAGAGCATGCAAGGTCTGCTTTTTTGTTATTAGGAGACATGAAACATTTTTAAAGGGGTCATATGATGTTGCTAAAAAGAACATTATTTTGTGTATTTGGTTTAATGAAATGTGTTTATGCAGTTTAAGGTAAAAAAAAACACATTATTTTCCATATACTGTACATTATTGTTTCTCCTCTATGCCCCGCCTTTCTGAAACGCGGCGATTTTTACAAAGCTTATCGGTCTGAAAAGCGAGATGTGCTGTGATTGGCCAGCTATCCAGTGCGTTATGATTGGCCAAATACCTCAAGCGTGTGACAGAAATGTTACGCCCCTACCATATTGTGATGATGCCCTGTCAGGCCGGAGCGATGATTCAAAAATATGAAAACCCATTGTAAACGAGGCATTCGTTGCATCCAGTGGGGACATAATTATGGATTATAATGACTTGTACTGTCTTTTTACGCGTTGCATTGTATCACGCCGCGTTAACATAAAACCATGTCTGCATTTGTGATCGGAGAAATGACAAACAACAAGCCCTACTCTACACTGCCCAAAAAACTCGCTTTAAATATATAAAATATAAAAACTTTTTAAATATAAAAAAACGTACTT